CACACACACACACACACACACACACACACACACACACACACACACACACACACAGCACTCTGTAATGAAGACTTGCGGTGCGGTGCCAGTTGTATTGACAGACAGATGTGAAAGCTCTCAGCTGTGATTGGGCGTCAGTTGGTCTCACACAGACTCACAGAGCGACATTAATAAATATTGAGTTGAGATAACCCTCAGTATGTTCCAGATAACTTGATTTAATTGTTTTATCAATCGTATTCCTCCTCTCAGCTCCTGAACGTGTTAATTCCACTTACGTGCTCCTACAAATCATCTCGACTCCATCCTGCCATGTTCAGTGTTTGTATTTGTGTTTGTGTGAGTGACCGGATTAATCAAGTGTGTGTTGAAACGTCACAGCAGGAAAACACAGGAGGAAATATTGAAGCCTTGACCGTTTCCTGCTGTGACGAGTTCATCTTGTGAAGTTTCCAGCTCTCGCTGTTTGTTTGCAGGACGTAAAAAGTACTGAACACATTTCCACAAAACCCGGTTGGAAAAACATTTATCTGTTTTAATTTTCAAACTGATAAAACTCTGAGACTTTTAATTATCATAACATATTTTGCATATGAGGCATAAGAACGCATGGGGTACCAAGTTATTAAAATGTGTTTGGACCAAATTCGGGTCTTAGCAGAACTTAGAAGTTGATTTTCCTGCACGGAGCCTCGACCTCAACCTCGTTCAACCTCTCTGGGATGAACTGGACCTGGAGGTTCGGGAAGCGATCTCCAGAAAATCTGAGCTGGTCCTCACTGATGCTCGAGAGGCTGAACGGGAGCAGATCACAGAGCGCACATGAATCCCTGCAGCAGCTTCCAGGATATTGAAAACAGAAGCATGGACGGAGGCACAATTACAGCTGGTCGATACCGACAGCTCTAGGATGACACGCCCATTAAATACATGTGTCCACATTCTCTTGGTGACATGTCTGTGTATATTTTAGCCTGCAGGCAGTACTACTGATAATACTTGATTACTTATATTGATAAAGCTCAAGCAATATACTGCATTGTACTTCAAACCAATGAGGCTTGGACTGGAGAGAGGGAGAGAGAGAGAGAGAGAGAGAGAGAGAG